AACGAATCTGTTATGTCTCGCATGATTTTCATGTTTGGCGGGGAAACAGGATAGGGTCTTATCTTTACTGGAGTAGTGTCCTTTAACTTTATTTCACATTCAAAATCTAAAGCCTTTCCTATTTCATTTGTAAAAACCTGTGGATTGCGTTCTACTAAACTTTCAATTCGGTCCTTGAGATTTAACCGCCCAATCTTTAACTCTAAACCACCACAACTGACAGCTTTCACCTTGTTACTTTCGTTTACATTCAAATTGAAAATATTGTCCATATCAAATGAAAAATAACCTTTATTTTCTCTTAGATTTAATACTCGTCCAGTTTTCTCCATGAACCTAACTCCTAATATTACATCCCAGGTTATTTTCTCGGCAATAAAAAACTGCACGGACCATGACTTATTTTGGATTTTTACTTTCACAATGCATTTACCTAATAAGTTTACGGATTCACTTGTAGCGGTGACACAGTTAACCTTATCGTTAGACCTGCTTATCACTAGCCTTTTAGATTCCAGCTTATCATAAACATTCTTACTTATAATGTTTATAGAGCTCCCCGAATCTAACAATGCACACTGTACCATATTGTTACTAAAATGTACATTTACTACTGGCAAGTTATGAATACCTCTTTTCGTTTTGAACCAACGCCTATTCTTAATCTTTCTCTCTAATTTCTTTACCTGAATTTTCTCATTCTTAACATGTTTCTTAACATCTAAATTACATAAACTGTTATTGAATGTTTTCTTAAATTTCTTTTTATTAAAGTCCCCTGTTTTATGGAAGGCACTCTTCCCTTTCACTAGTTTCCCTGATTGTTGGTCCCTGTAGGCCTACTCCCAACGTCTTCTCTGTGTGACACGCCACTTGTGTGACCTCCCCTAGTGTAACCTCCCCTAATGTCCCTACCTCGTTTCCAACAATCCCTTATGAAATGACCGGGTTTAGAACAGTAGTGACATAATCGTGGTTCCATCTGATTACTCCCGCCTTCTCTTCCCTTAGTTGTATTTACATTATTTACATAACCACGACCAGAATTATTACCGCCAAACTGATTCCTTCTCCCTCTTATCTGTTCCCTTTCCCAGTCATTATACTCAACATTCTTAATTACCATACACATTTTTTCCAAATCTTGTAAGCTTTTAGGAAATTCCTGGAAAACTAATTTATTTCTGTCCCTCGGATTTATTCCTACGATAATTACGTCAATCAGTTCACGTTCTGAGTAATCACATTTTAACAACTCCGCGTTGTTCCTTACCGCACACACATACATGGCAAGAGGTTCGTCTGGACCCTGGGGTCTATGTACCAGGTCACGTTTTAGCTTCTCATATAAACCCTGTGGAATGAAGTACCTTAGTAAGGCACTATGCACAGAGCTTACATTTGACCCACATTGGATGTGCGTATTTATTCTACCCAACAATGGTTCGCTTACATGACTAGCTACAACCTCTAACACCTGTGAATCATTAAGTTTACCACACTTTTTCAACTTATTTACTACATTGAGTAAAGCTAATAACTTATTGTGGTCCAAGCCATTAACATTAGAAGGGATTTCACGTATGATTTTTTCAAGTGGATTTGTTAGCTTTGTAAACAACTCAGAAGTAGAAGATGTATGCAACCTCTTATCAATACCCAAATTGCTTATCTCTACATTAGACCCAGAAACATTGTTTTCTGTTTGGTTCTTATCCAAATTACCCATCGCTTGTGCATTTTCTGGCTCAAAAACATCCTTACTATAATCTATACTATCCGACTCGATACCATTCTCCTCAACTTCATGTGTTTCACTTAACTTTCTCAAACTAGCTTCAACTACGGTTTGGTCTAACCTATCTAAACCTTTACGCAGTGCCTTTTCCCACTGATTGGACTCATTGACCCATTCTGAAACCTGGCTTCGCGATTGATCTGGCAAACGAATATTCCCGTTTTCGAGCAAATTACCCAAACGTCGCTTCAAATGACTGACTCGCTCTTTCAACCTATGAATACCGACCGCCTCCTTAATCTCTTCAACACTCGCGAGTAATTCCCGAAATTCTTCAACCTTCTCTCGACAATTGTCTAGTTCTATTGTCACCCTTAACACAGTTAAATTTTCCCATTTCGTCGGTACATTATCCTTCAAAGCCTTCCTAAGTTGTTTTCTCAAGATAGTTACAGTATTATTTACAGTAACAGGGAATCCCCGCCATTGCAACTCGTACAACAGCTCATCTTTGTGGAGCAGATCAACATTGAAACCCATGATTTATTTACTTAACTCAAAACCTTTAAAATCTCTATTTCATCATGCTTCTCTCTCCACCTCTCACAAACACGAACTTGATAAGCAGAGTGGCGCATCTGACACACCTAAGTGTCTTAAATTTAAAATCAAGTGTAACGTGCTGTGAAAGGAAGCAAGAAGGGCATGCTGAAATAAGAAGTCTTATTATTCCAGTAAAAATCCAATATAATGAAGCAACATCTTAAAACTAACAAATGTTCAGTATGTTAAACCTTAGAAAATAAACAAAAACTATCTACTTCACATAAACTAAAATAAACTTTACAACCATTACTAACCCCCCTCCCCTTTCTTTGATCGATCAAACCTTACATAAAAATTCCCCTAAAACTTCTTGTCCTCTCCAAAGTCCATACTTTTCTACTTTACAACTCATATATATAGGCCTAATCATAAAATTTGAAAATATTGATGTGTAACATGGTGAAGGGTACTCATCACTTCACGAACGCTGTCTTCAATCTTTGGTGGAGCTTCAGTGAGATGATCTGAGCCGGAGACAGTCTACTGGTGGGAAGACTTCCATGGTTTGCAAACAGATTGTCCACAGACGGTTGTCAGGCCTCCGAGAAGGTGATACTGGTCCCGACTCCTCCAGACAACAGATAGGCGATGGTGTACTCTCCGACGATGTTCAACTCTGGGACTTGAACCCTAGGACATGTTCCAAATTCGTACTATGGATCCCTTCTTTAATATCTTTATTTTAGTATAGTTACACATACTTTCACACATCTATCCAGCAAAGTTAATTTTCCCACAAATCGTTTCTAAAGTCTAGTTTCCCCAATAAATTTTAACATAGAATACTAAAAATTCTCATTTTGTTCTCATTGACAAACATTTGAAATAACCCCTTTAAATAAAATCATTCGTAAGTACAAAACATAAAATATTTTAACATATTACCTTTTACTGAATTTACATAATAGTAAAATTGACCACAAAGTAATTTTTAATCAGCTGTCTCAAACATGTGTCTAATACATCTTGATTCTTTAACGAATTACTAAATTTGTATACCGTGACATTTTAATAAAACACAAATAAACTCAATTAAACATATCCTTCTTCCATGTTGAAATAAATAACTGTTTAGACAAATCCTTAATAACTACCCCAAATTAAAACAATATTAAAATCCTGTCGGTTCAACTAGAACATGACTCTGAAACCAACCTAATTTTACCTTAAAAACAAATTTAATCGAAATATTCTCTCTGAACAGTTATTGATAGTTACAAAACTCATTTAGATTGACACAATGCTATTTAAATTTAATCCCTTTTAAGATACAAAGCTAAAACAATTTTTTAACACTCGTTGAAACCTGAGCCAAAAACACGTGGTGTTCAATCTTCATGTCAATCAAAATTAAAGTAAAAATTATTAATTGGTTTACAAAAAAAAAAACTTAGCTATATATTTACAAATTGAAGTTGTACTGATTTTTCCTGGAATAACCTTAAAACATAAATTGGTTAATTATTTGTATAACATACCTCCAAATCGAGGGAACAAGTTGACTGTCGGCCACAACTACGCAAAATGAGATTGAAACAACGTGGTTCTCCTCCAAATTATGAATCATCGCTACCCTAAACCTAGTCTCGAACACTTGCCACCAGACTGCGCGCTTGCAGTTATCAATGCTGGTATCGACTTGAACTAAGAAAACCGGTTTCTTCTAGTTTTCCAGGATTTGTACTAACATTCAATTCTATTACCTTATAACATATGAAAATAAAATATAATTTCTGTCACAATCGTGACAGGGGAATAGTATAAGCTTGTATTTCTTTAAGCTTAGTCCTACTATTTGACTTTTGACTGTGTCCAAATCTGCTAGCTTAATGAGTTGGGTGACTGAAGGCTCAAAGATGTAGACGTTCTTCTCTTTTGTACATTTTTGGACATGATTTGTCAAATAAAAAGAGATCGCCTCATCTCCTAACCATTGTTTGCTGTTTAAAATGTCCATCTTATATTTATTGCAGAGTTTTTCGGTTTCCTTCATTTTAGTCCAAGCAGTTTCTTTTTCTTTTTTTAATTGAGTTATAGTCTTCTTTAACTGCTCCATAGTGTGTTGAAGTTCAGATATTCTCAATTTTTGTTCATTTGCTTTTGTTTCATAATCAGCAAAATAACAAACAGAGTCTGTCAGATTATCCTTGGTTATTGATAAATCATTGTTGTCAGCCTCAATCAGTTCTTCCATTAACGACTTATTTTTATTTTTGGAGTGTTCATATACGTTTTCTAAATGTGAAAAATCTTGTTTTAATGTGTCATAGGATTTTTGCAATTCTATATTCTTGCTAATATCAATACAATCAATACAATGTATGTCAGTAGCTATACCACTGCCACCACCCAATTTCGGGAAGAATAATGAAGTACATACCATAAGCACACACAGGATTTCCATAAAAGATCAGTACAATTTAATGTTTAAGACATTGTGTTACTTTTCAACGTATGATGTTTTTTACCTGTCTTGGTTGTATTAGCCTAACACTGAATTTGAATTTTAATTCACACTCATAATTAATTGTTGCTGAGTCTGCTAACATGAATAGAAATTATGACCTAAAATTAAAGTTGTTAAATAACCTTGAAGGTAAAATCAGGGAAACAAATAATCATTATGTACACATTAAAATGTCCCTTCTTTTTTTAGGACACAGAATGAACCAGGGTACATTATTGTGCTCTCTAGTTCTACTGGTAACAATATTATGTGCTGTACAAGCAGTAGCTGAATACCGATTACCAGATGATGTAGTTCCTCTGGAATACAAGCTGGATCTTCTAGCTCCCCCGGGCAAGATTTCTTCTAACAAGGATAGAATGTACAACGGCAAACTGTGGATAACTGTAAGTCCTACAACACTGGAAAAATAATATTATACATCACTTTATTTACTTTTTTGTCAGGTCAAAGCAAGCACCAATGTAGAAACAAGAAGCAAGTACTGTTATGATTAGTTCTAATATCAAAATATTTCTAACCACCAAGCCTGTGTGGAGTTCGCTTTCAAATTTAAAAAGACTATTCTTAGTTCTTTTAGTTTTAAATTTCAATCAAGGAGGGTTTGAGACTAAATATTTTGACTAAATATTTTCCTTACATGGGCTAGTACATTTTCAAAGGTAGAATAGATTTCAATCCCACCCAGCTTCTCACCGGATATGCACTGTTTTATCCGGCCTACCTTCACAAGATGGGAAATTCAGTGAGTCAGGAATGTCAGAATGGTGACTCCCAATGTTTTTATTTCCTGCATATGCATACCTTCTTCCAATGAGTTAGGTGGGAAGCACTCAGGATTGACCTTGAAACGGCCAATGGCGCAATCTTGTCCGAAGCACTCTTTCATTTGATGTTTTCAAGTCCAAAATCCTCGAACGCTGTTTCTGCATCAAGAGAGTGCTGAAAGACAAGAGAGCCAAACTGCTGTGATGCACCAGCACAGCTTAACCTGGTGGATGAGCGCTACCATTGACTATATATACCTACAGATGCTATCCAGGCGTAAGAAGGCACCCTCTTGGAGCATTGCAAGTCCAAGAGAGGTTCCTTTGCCTGGACTGACAGTTTTTAGTGGGTTAGATTGAACAGCTAGCACAATAGTAAACAAGAGCAAATACACCTAGACCCTGTAATGTAAAATGTATTTAAACATCCGAACATCGTAAAAAAATCAAGTCTGGTTGCTAATTCATACGACTGAACTTATCTAAATTACCTTTGTATGTTAATTTAAAATATATTTTCAGGTAGAATGTAAAGTGGATACAAATGTTATAAAACTGCACAGCAAAGAATTGAAAATATCCACAAAAGGTAAAAACCAACTAACAGTCACTGAAAAAGAAAAGCAAGAGAAACTCAATGTTCATAGGACCGAAATGCAGCAAGAAAATGCCCACTTCATCATTGAACTTTTGAAACCACTAGAAAAGGGTAAAACCTACGTTGTATATTTGTATTTTGAAGGAGAATGGTCTCATGGTCTAATGGAAGGATTTCACCGTAATAATTTTAAAGACGAGTGGGGACATATCAGGTAAAACGAGTCAATATTAGATATATTATAGACAGTGTTGTAGTGGAGAGGAAACATGAGAGATGCATATCCGAGGCATTGAGGCATATCTCTGCAATGGGTTTTAATAACTTTAATAAGCATTTAATATGATAAGTTATACTTGTATCTCGTACGATAGTGGCAAAACAGTGAGCATCTCCTGTGATCATAACAAAATCGTGAACATGCTCTTGACTTGCACCACACAGTCGTGGGGACATCATCGTCGTCTTCCACAACCGCAAAAAACTGTTTGCATCCCCTGTGATGGCAGTGAAATCGTGATTTGTGATCATATCCGATGTTAAGTTCTCAGACGATAATGGTTAGTGTTCACACACTGGAAAATTTATGACTACATCACTGAATATAGCATCATTTAATTATTTGATTATTATTCAATAATAGTTTTTCACACAAAAACTGACCATTACTTAAAGCTTTTACATGTAACATTGTAAAAGTATGTATGAAACACCACTAATAAAGTTAGAAACTAGAAAAACTTATAGATTTAAAGAGCTTACTATAGACAGTAGACACCCTCTTAACCGACCCTAATGGGACCGGACCTAGGTCGGATGACTCAAAAGGTCGGATAAAACGGGCAATCCCTAAAATCATAACATAATGAGTGCTATTCATTTGGAATTATATAATCATTATTTTGAAATCATACTTGCATTATTTATCAAATAAACTACTCTTATCTCCTTTTTCATATTGATAGAAAAGTTACAAATAAACACAAAGCACGGTTAAGTCAAATAGGCCTACTTTCAGTGGAATATATTATAATACTACGCAAGAGTCAATAAAATTCCTATTTTAATAACTTTAGTACTGTAAAAAAAAAAATGTATTAATTGATGCTTTCAAAATACATCGTAATACAGTACAGAACCTTTTGTTGACATTAAAGATACAAGCGACCATTTTGTTACAAGACAGGACGTTTATATATAGCCTCTCACTGGAGGCTCAAGCACAAAAACTATCTTGACCTTAGAGTTGTTAACCCCTCTTCCCTACAAGTTGCATTGTTTGTTTACTCCGGCAATAAGATAATCAGTTCTCAAAATCGTAACGCAGTTTATGATGTTATAAGTTTGCCGCACAGATAACAAATCAGATCAGATGTGCTCGAGCTAGGAACGATGATGACAAACTGACAATAGGCTATGCTATATCTTTTTTGATCAACACAAACTAACTTATTGTTAGTCATATCCTGTGGAGATAAGCGTATGGTTCAGTTCTCATCGCCCAGCATGGGAGCGGAAATGCCGAGATTCCTAGAAAGCGGCGGTTAAACCGAGCTGCTCTCAAAGCAAAGTCGGTTAAAACAAACTGTATTATTTTACGATCGAAGGCGGATAATCCGATTATCGGTTAATACGATGTCGGTTAAGAGGGGGTCTACTGTATCAAGCTATAGTTTATTGTTCCGACGTCCTTTATCTAACGACTGCACCCTAGGCTTGCCCTAGGTTCCTCTGCCCTGAAATGGTATTGGCAGTCTACTATCCAAAGGGTATAGAACTAAGAAAAATCTTTGAATTAATAATTGTCATAAGAACAAATTTTATTGGAGCTTTTGATTACTGACTGGGGTATGTGATTGAAATTACTGTCAACTTATACTATATACGAGCTGCAATAACCATGCTTTGCAATGGGAAAAAGATGTAAAAGAGAATAATGCTGTTCTTTAAATCAGCTGTATAAAATAGCTATAAATTAAAAAAAATTAATAAAAATGGATGGCATGAGTTGCGTTTTGGCATATTCTGGCAGGAGAGTTTTAAATCTGCTAAGACCTCTCAATCTTCCCACTGCACGTTGGACTGCAGATGTGACGTGGTCAGAAAAAGAGAGGTCTTTGTCAAGTACAACACCAAGCGTGTTGACAGTGTCACAGACAGACAATCCCATGCCATCAAGGGTGACTTCAATATCAGATTTTCTCAACTCCTGCATTAGAATATGAAATGAAATGAAATGAAAAATGTCTTTATTTAAGAGGCGAAGTTAGGACTAGCAAGTCCTCTCTACCACTTAACCTCTAATATGTGGTCCAGTATGCATGACAACACACTTGTCAACGTTCAATCCAAGGCCATTCATGACAGACCATTGAAAAATGCTATGCAAATCAGCATTGATGAGTCCAATTGCTGCGGATGTCATATCTGGCTTGTGTGACAAGTAGTTGGCAGTCATCAGCATACAAGTGTGCTGTACAATATTTTACACTTCTGGTTGTTTATGGTTATTAAAAGTAATTTCTAACTGCCATTTTGTTTTTAGTGGTCCGATTTCTATTTTCTTTATGTTAATTGTTTAGTTATGGCAAGACCTGTAAAATAATACCAAACTTGACCATACTTCCTGTTTAAAAATTTTAAGCTACTCAATACCCTTACTACCCCTAAGGGCAAAATTTTTAAAATTTACCATCATTAGAATCAGCCCTTCATATCGAAACAGGTTGCCGCAAACCGATTTCAAATATCTCAAATAGTTAAAAAGGTAAAGGGGGGTGCAAGCTAATTTTCAGTCACCCTCATGGTTATTAGGTATTGATACATTTTAGGGCGCCATTTTGTTATTAGTGGGCCGATTTTCTTTTTCTTTATGTCAATTGTTTTTTTCGTCAAGGCCTGTAAAATGATACCAAACTCGACTATACTTGTCATTTGAAAATGTTGAGCTACCCCCTACCTTCGCTGCGCCTAAGGGCAAAGTTTTAATTGACCCCAATTATTGTAGCCCCTCATATCTAAGAAGGTTGCCGCAAACCGATTTTGAATATCTCAAATGGTTGAAAAGTTAAGGGGGGTGCAAGTTACTTTTCAGCCACCCTGTATAAATGTTATATCATTTTAAAGGGAATTAAAATGAGAATAACAATCAGCAAAAAACCAAGTTTGTGTAAATAAAAAAAATATCGGTCTGGCTCCCCTTTTAAACTCTCTGTATAGTAATCATCTGCATGTTTCTGATGCAATAAAAAAACTAGAGATAAAATTTAAAATATACATAGTATGGTGGTTAAATAATGTAAAAGATTGCAATTGGAAAACATTTCAATAATGTTATATTAACATTAAGTTTGTAGTATTTTTTTAGCTACTTGAAAAAAGTCGTCAATATAAGCCCAAGCACTATGTGAAAGGAAATATGTGTTGATATATCGCATTGCGTAAATAACAATCAATTTTGCATTTTGACAAACCAGCGGCTAAAATTCTGGCCGCAAACTTTTTATCTGCACAACATCAGTTCAATAAATTAAAGGTGGAACTAAACGTATATTTTAACGGTTGTGAATTTAGTCAGAACACATCAAATTGTAATACCTAGAGTGTACGAACCTGAATTTAACCCCCGTACTTTTACCCCCTTCATATTTAAGGTCAGCTCAAAATTTACGACCCGGAGTTTTAGTTTTATATATCTGCACAGGGTGTAAAATTCCGGGGTAAAAATCTGAGGGTAAAATTCGGGGGGTAAAAATCTCGGCCGTACATATACAGGTTGCGTAAACGAGGTAAAATTCCAGTTTTATTGCTATTCTAATTTATCACGCCCTCTACTTTCAGTAGACTCTTAAATCCGCAGGGGTAAAATGCCGCCCGCAAACAAAATTCCAGGGGGATTTTATTCCGGCTACCCCACCTTCCTTACACTTTACTACACTATAGTAATAGTAATGAGGCAATTATAAGCCACTCATCGTGCAGAGGGAAGCAACTTATTGCGGCTTTATAAAATAATTTTAACGCAACCTAATGGAAAAGCACCAAACACCATCTTCGAGGCAGTCTTGAAGTGAAGATCTTCGCAAAAACCATTGTACAGTGACCGTATCAATGTAAGGATCAACAAAATTCCCTGCGATAACTTATCTTGTTCAGTTGAAATTGTTCTACTTACAATGTAGTTAAAAAGAACTATGAAGTTGAATCTAAGTTCTTATTTATTTTTTAAATTATTAGTATGACAAAATAACAATCCTTTCCTTAATTAGTTTAGTTACTGGACTTATTTATGCAATCACACATTTAACGACTTGTAGTGCTCTCTAGTGGTAATCACAACTACTATGTCGTCGTAGTGCATAACTTGTCCGCAGTGCTAGCGGTTTGGAATTAACAGTTAGCGTTTAGCAGCGGTCACAATTACTATGTCGTCGTAGTACATAACTTGTCCGCAGTGCTAGCGGTTTGGAATTAACAGTTAGCGTTTAGCGGCGGTCACAACTACTATGTCGTCGTAGTGCAGAACTTGTCCGCAGTGCTAGCGGTTTGGAATTAACAGTTAGCGCTTAGTGGCGGTCACAACTACTATGTCGTCGTAGTGCAGAACTTGTCCGCTGCACCCTTGAATCACTAGCTACCCCACTAGGTAAAATCAAAACATGTTGTGTAATTTTATTAAATAAAATACCCCTGCCGCAGCAAATCTGCAGACTAGCCCTCCCTGAAAATGTACGCAACTTGCCTATTAAGTCACTGAAAAATGTATTGACCGATTTTTTGAACAGAAAGGTTATCTACTCTATCGAGGAATTTTTATCTTTCAAGCATGATGATTTTCTGTAAAATTCTAATTGTTAAGTAGGGTATTGTTTCTAAAGTATGTAATAATGGTTTCATGAACTGTGATATAATAGTCTTTCATAATAATGAATTTCTGTCAACTTTATTTAAAAATTTATTGTTATTTAGTTTTAAGCTGTATCTCACTGCCAATTTTAGCCTTAATTATTTTGTTATATGTACTTACCCAACTTGTTTGCTTAACTATAAACGTATTATTATCATCATTATCAATACATCTCAAATACTTTTGTACAAAAACCCAGTATTATTAGTTTATTAAGTATAGCATGTTCATCTATTTACACTTGACTCTGTACATTGTACTTTGAATTGTATATTATCTCCATTGACCTGGCCTATTGTATGACATGTATACTTAATGGCAATAAACTATTTGAATTTGAATTTGACTAAGCAAATATCCATTTACCTGGCTGGATTTCTACTAAAATATTTCCTAAAAATTGTCACATTTATTTCCTATCTAAATAACATTAATTTTAGTGAGTACCGTACCTACTTAGGTTTGCTGCTACAGGGAAGATATTGAGGTGTGTTTTTTTTTTATTGAACGTTGATAGCTTAGTATGAAACAAAAAAAATTTCAAATTTAGTTAAAATATATCCATAAACAAGTAAACTACAACAGTTTATTTATTCTCCATAAGAATAACATGGGAATTTTAAATTTACATTTTTTTAAATTATCTCTGTAACCGTTGGGCATACAACAATGCTTCAATATACAAAATTATTTCTTTTTTAAGCTCTACAAAATAGTTTGGAGAAAAATTATGGAATTTTTTGTTTTTAGGGTAAAAAATGGGAAAAATCAATTTTTACCCCATAAATGTAGGTTTACATGTTTTTACAAAATTTCATCTAAATCGGATCACTTTTGCTAGAGTTATCATGTTAACGGACATATATACCGGTATATGAATTTGAACGGAGGGTGTTTTTGGCCTCTGGGGACCTCAGGGTCTAGGTCTTACCATGAGACCTAGGGTAATAGCTTATTCCCTATTTGGGAAATTCGCTAAAAGGGGGAAAAAGGGTACTTATTTGATATATTAGTGAATTTCTCTATAGGGAAGTAGCTATTACCGTAGGTGGCATGGTAAGACCTAGGACCAATTTACTTTTTCATTTTGTCTCCACAGGCCAAAAACACCATTCGTTCAAATTTGTGTATGTATATGTATGTCTACACCCCCCCCCCCCCCCCCATTAAGCAGGGGGGGCCGGGAAAATTTGGAATTTTCAAAGCTGTTTGGTGACTTTCTGAAGCCATTTTTAACACCTAAAACTGTGCCCAATCGTCCATAAACTCCCATTTCACCAGTTTTTTGTCATGAGCAAGTAGACATTTAAAAAATTAAACTATGACGATTGCATTTATGAATTTCAAAAAGCCCGGTAGCTCCCTCCTTGACAAGGTCCTGGAAGTGCCACTGCTAATCTTCCTATTCCCTGCACCAAATAATATGTTTGTAATTTATAAATATGTTGTTCTCGTTAATGGAACATAACCTGTTTTGCTAATATATTGGTCAGCCTGTTATGTGGCAAAGATACTAAAAAAATATATAATTTATTTGTGCAGAGTATAGAAAAATAATTGATCAAAAACGGTTTCTAAATATAATAAATAGTTTGGAGTATTAAATGGCAACTTAAATAATTATTTAATGAACATTTTTTGCCCTAATTCTGCAAAATCACTTTCCATATATCCCCAGACTTGAGCTACATAACAGATGACAGCCCGCACCATTTTCGTCTGCCACCATTTCTAAAAACCATTTTTTTTTATTTGTTTAGATTTAAATTAGATTCCACATACTACAATAGGCCTCTAGGTTTCTTATCATGTGTTGAAGCCCAGTTCTTGTAGGAGAGCGAGGAGAATAATCTGCATAGATTATGCAGATAGATAATGCATAGATTATGATATGCAAGTCTGCTCTGGCAAGTTGTTTACAAAAAAATAGGCTGAATAAAGTAGGTGAGAGAATACATCCCTGTCTTAAACCTGTATTGGTGTTAAAACTGGTTGTGATATGTGATGTCATCTCCAGACCATACACTTATACTATACTAGTTTCACTGTAATAGCTTTTCAGATTGTTGAGCATACGAGTTGATATTCCCAGGTTTGACAATTTAAACAATAACAATAATGCCTTTCATCAATAGTGTCAAACAATGAGCTAAAATCAACAAAAAAACACGAATAGGTTTACTTCTTTCTGAATCAATCTTAATTTAATCAAAAAGTTAGATTAAAATTAAATTGTATTTTTGAAGCATGTGTAAAGTGAAGCTCTTAGGAAATTAGCCTTTGGGGCAGAGCCCTTAAGGAATTTGTTCATATTATACAAATCATTTTTGGCGAATCTACAACACTATAATCCTAATTTTTGATGTGCCCTATGCCTGTTTTTTTATTTTGCTAAAATCCCTTAAACAATGACAACAAAATTTCTAAATTTGACCTTATCACTTAATTCGGGGGTTTTTTCAAACTTTACAAATTTTACAATTTTTTAAATTTTACAAGTACTATGAAACACTGTTTAACACTATTTGTGCTGTCGACATGTTTGAACATAAAAGTTGCATTTATTTCAATGTTAAGCAATTACGGGAATTCCCGTCATCAGCACCCAACGTGTTAATGGAAATTTATTGTAAATAAGACTCAACAGGGTGTTTTTACATGCTCAAATATAGTATGTATTGTAGGTCTAAGTTTTTTTTCTTTGTTTACAACGGATCTGGTTTGATTAAATTTGTATGTGTCAATAATAGCCTTGTTGGTTTTTTAGGTACTGGAATCACACCTGGAAACTTAATTTTAAACCTGTCTTGGCATAAAACCAATAATTTATTATTAACATATTCTTCTCACTCTTTGATCGAGGGAAATACCATGTTGAGTCTTGTTTACAATAAATTCCCAATACAGTAATACTAAACCTCATGGATAACTATGGAACAACGCATATCAGCTGATCGATGTCTCACAGTACTTGGAATTTGGGTTGTGTTTCAAAGAAAAACACTCTGTATAATAGATACTTTTATATGGAACAAAGATAAAATCTCTAAACATTAGAGCTTTTAGAATTTAAATTCATAATATCTCCAATATTATAATGTTAATAATCCATAATCCAATAACAATGTTATCGTACCAAAACAAACAAAGTGTGGGCTGTAATATTTAAAGTATTATCAGTTAATTTAGTTGTAACAATATGTTTAAATAAAAACCGAGCCCATGACGAACTTTCTGTATACAAATTTCACCTTGTATAGAGAAACATCTAAATAATAAACACGATTTTCCAGGACGTATGCTATAAAAAAGAATCGTTTTGGCGCTCATGGTGTTTTCCCTTGCTTTGACGAACCACGATTCAGAGCCAAGTTTTATATATCCATTGGTGTAAGGAAACCCCACATTCCAATCACAAATACGCCCCAGAAACAAGAGTAAGTACTGTTGCTGATTTAGTTTATTTTTACTTAATTTATAAATATGGTAGGGGAGGGTGGGCCACAATGGAACAAAAATCAAAAAAACAATTTTTGTTTTTTTTACCTGTTTGCTTTACAGCTTCAGAAGATAAATGTACTTAGAGAACAACCTATCCTGCATATATTTAACATATATTAAAACTGATAATTAAATAAATATTAACTTTTATGAACCGTTTTACAAAACCTATGTAGGTGCCTATATTGGGCCACAGTGGAACGAACATGATACGGGCCACAGTGGAACAACGAATTAAAAAGCAAAAATACTGTACAAAGAAACTTTTACTAACCTGTAATGGTACACACTTTTAAAACCTAACAGTGTCAAATTCTTCTACTTGTAATTAGTTAATAGTAAGCAAGTCAAAATTTACTTCAAACTTAAAAAATGACTTAAGTCTCTTTGTTGACCCAGTCTCAGAAGGTACAGGCAATATCATCTTAATGTCACTCATTTTAACAAGAGCGACGTCAGCAACATTTGTGATGTGGAAAGCGAATAGGGACCTCTTGTCGGGAATTTTCGATGTTGAGTTAAATATATATTTGAATTCTTATTAAATTTTGAATCGATTGGTGCAAGCCCCACGCATGTATGATCTTTTTTGTTAAAGTTATAGGACTTTGAAATTTTGTTATGGAAAAGGATCATTTTGAGAAAAACTGTTTTGAAAATTTCAAATATGCATAAAAACAGTGTTTTTTGTATCTAAGAAACGATTTTGGTATCAAAAGAAAGCTTATGATGTCCTCTTTGAAAGAAATGCAATTTTTCCTCTTAACTCACGGTAGTTTTCATTTAAATAATTATTTTATTGAAGCATGTCGTAAAAATCGCATTTCAGAAAAGGGACCTCTTGTCGGCCCTATGTTATTTCGCTATAAGATAAGAAAATGTACCTCTTGTCGGGACCGCAAATTTTGTGAAATATTTTGTCCTTCGTGAAATGAACTTTGTTGTAGTTCTCTAAATTTCCACTAGAATGCAGGGCAATTAATTTTTTGGACTAAAATCTGTTTAAAAAGTGAATATTAGAAATGGGACCTCTTGTCTTTATGGCGAAATAACATTGAGCAACAAGAGACAAAGAAAAGAGACAAGAGACAGACCAAGCAGAGGCTAACCAAATGATTTATTTAGACCTTGCATCTTCAATCCGAGATTTTAACCGATACTGTCATGTTCTATGTTAAATGAGGTATAATAATCAATAAAAACCCGAAACTCATAATATTTTCGACCTTAATTACTTATATCGGCCGTACTGAAAATTTTGCATCTCTGACAAGAGGTCCCTTTTCACTTTCCACATGACATTTGGAAAAGTAAATGACCATTCAAACTTAGGGCTTTTTCACAAAAAAACTCACTTCTACTTCTCCAGTAAAGTCTTCAGGTTTCAACACTTTTGCAACATAAAAAACATTGCGTGTTAGCTCGTCTTTTGGTCTAAACTTTACCAACACAAAATCATCAACAACTGGTGATCGGTCTAGTTTTTTAATGAAATCTAGAAAATTATTATCTTAATTTTCTTACTGCCTTCAATTGGGCCGATACCATCAAGTTCTTCGCCACTTTCACTTCTATTGAGCTGACTATTGTCAGTAGGTCTCTCTTTGCCTGCTGTGCTGGTTGAAGGGGTGGAAAGAAAAAAGATTGTTGGATCAGTAATTGGACCTTGCGCAGCTAGTGGTGACTGTTGTGAAGGCGATATTGTTTTATCCGTTACGTAGCTGCAAAGGAAGTCGTTATCTGTAAATATCTTATTGTCGAATTGAAAAATTCCTGTTGCCTTAAAACCAGATTTGATGTTTGAAGGAGTTAAGGCCGGTACACACTAGGACACCCGGTCGTTTATCAACCGGCAATCTGGTTGACGAGCGACTAAGTTTATGATTGAACGTTTTATTGCTGAGGGATACAGACTAGGATATACCTAGCACTTTCAACCAAGCTGGAAATCAATCAAAATTTGGTGGGGATAGACAATGCGTTTTGTTCTGGTTCACCCTTAAGCCTATCTAAGTGTGTACCTAAGTGACAACACCATGCCCCCCGACAAAGAGGAAATAGCTGCCGAAGTTTTGATTATATTTAAAATTGTGGGAAGTAGAGAAGAAGAAAGAAATTGTTTAGAAGATTTTGGGTTAAAGGGTGGCTTTAACGTAGAAATAGTTACAGCCACATAGCACTACTACGAGCTTTGCTACTTGAAAATCCTCAGGATTTTAAGAACTATTTACAGATGTCAGATGACAGTTTCCGTCATACTAAGCAACCAGTGACGCCCGTGACACCTCACATAGGAAAAAAGGACGCGAGATTGAGATTTTAGCATGGTTTTGTTTCGTCAGTTCATTTTTTGTTGTATTGCCCATGCGCAAGCCGTCTTTAGTTGATCAACTTAGTCGCTGAACCGTACACACTCTAGTTTTTTGGAGAAATCTGATTGCCCGGCAATAAAATGGTGGATTGGAAACCCCCAGGTTTTTGAGACATGTTCGAAAAAAACCAACATGTTGCCTGGCAACCTACAAATCGCCGTCAATCAAATTGACAGACCAACACACACACACAGTGATATTTGTGCAATTTGGTCGCTCGTCAACCAGGTCGCCGGTTGATAAGCGACCGGGTGTCCTAGTGTGTACCGGCCTTTAGACCTCGATCATGGCCCAATTCCCATTCTCTCGTTTTCTTTTGCCAGATTGAGGGATTGTATTGTCAAATGGCTTTCATGGTTATATGATCAAGATTGTAGGGTTATCTTTGGAAGAACCACTATGCTTGATAAAATGTTTCATGACATCTACAAATAGATCACCATTCATCCACCCTGTAGCTGAGGCTAATCCTAATGTACCAGGAGGTGCCCCATTTATCATGTGTTCCTTGAAGTTTTGTCCTGGGAAACACCATGGCTGGTGGAAGACTATTGCCAGTTGCACTTATGATGCAACATTTAGTGACAAGATCACCTCTTCTAGCACTCGTACACTGGATGACTTGCTGCTGGATGACTTGAAAACATTTTTAAATCAACACATGATTATTCAAACTTGAGAAAAATAAAATAAAATATCACGAAACTATCACAGAAAAATATAAAAACAACTTAAATCTACAATAGTAACTTTTATTCATTTTTCCTCATCTTCGCCAAAGTGGCAATGTCCAGGCCAGGATAGTAGGAGTCGAAATTTTCAATTTTCCTTTTGTTCAGTCTGACATAGGTTCCGTCCGGAAGAAAGACTCTTTTCCTCTTCGTATTTGCTCCTCTTCTTTTGTGTGCCGGTCGTTGCAGCTTGAGTTGGGGGTCTTCCATTTGTGTAGTCGCAGAGTATGTTTGGTCGTGGCTTCGACTTCCATCGGTTGTTCGTTGGTATCCGACGTGCTTCCAAGTGACTGAGGCATTTCTGTATCTTCCTTCTTCAAAGGGCTAAGCTTCATTTTAGCCAGACTATCAAGGACAGAATTTTGCTTAGGGGAATGTGGGAATGGGCTGACTATCGTTTTCCCGGAGTCTATAAACTCTCTTAACTCTTCTAATAACGGGTCAGGGGCCTCAGCAGATTCCCTTTCTTGAGGGCTCAAAACGATCTCCAAAAAGTCCTGGGGTTGTATAAACTTTGTCTTCTCTTGATGGGTTAGGTAGTACCCCTCCCGGTTGCTTTTTATCTCTTTTCCTGGAGAAATCATTCTAGGTTGTAGTTTTGTTAACACTTACTTGGTTCGGAGCTTTCTTTGGCTGTGGTTTCCCTGTAAGTTTTGGGTCGCAATTTTGCTGGCTAAGACAGATGGTTTCTTATCGGGGTTTTTATTCTTCGGGTCCAAAGGTTGAGACGCCCACTTCAGTCTTCTTTCGATGTGTTTTCTCATTTCGTCCGATGTCATTCCTCGTAAGGTAGTTAGTGGTCTCTCATGGGTTAGTACATCGGCAAACATGCAAATGTATACCCCGCAGTCACTATCATTGCTCTGTTGTGGGCAGACTTTTAGCATGTTCAATCTGGAAAACTCTTTGTTTATTTTTTTTTTGCGGCTTGCGCTTTCTTTAAGAAAGTAATCCTTAACTTGTTCCATTCGCGCAGTGTGCTCCATGCCCAGGCTATCAAAGGACGTGATGTCGCATTTTTTTGGTCTGGCGACAATCAGGGCCCAATGTCCTATAGTAGCCGGTGGTTGGGGTGGCATGAACAAGGGAAATAGGACAAAATCTTTGTCCAGGGGGTTACCTTTTGCCCACCGTTTTACCCCCTCGTATCCGCTGTTGTTGCGGTCCCATGACGTAAAAAAAAACGATGGGAACGCCATTATTTTCTTCCCTGTTTTGGACGGTTTTTCCAGAGTTTGCATGAAGCTGTTGACAATTTTGTCGTTTAAACATTTCCTGAACTTGATTATATTGTAGTCTTCCGTCGTTAGTTTCTCCATGGTACCTGAAAGCCAAGCAAAGTGTAAGCAGTTGAAAACCCAAATAAAATAAAACTACAACATTCTAAATTTCTAGGCAGACATCCTAGTTAAAATGGGATTGGGGAAGACAGCAGGGTTAGACCAGGTAGGGTTTTAGATCCTTTACGTGTGCTTGGGGAATTAAACCACCGTCAGTTGATAAAATGAAGATGTTGGCCCCTCTGGGCGTAAAACAGTAAATGGTCCTTCAAACTTTGGAGCTAGTTTAGCCGCAAAACCTTTTGAAGCATCGGACAGTTCATGTTTGCAACACAACACTTGTTGTCCTACCTTAAATGAGTTCGGTCTATGCCTCAGATTATAATAGTGAGATTGTTTGTCGTAAGCTTTCTTTAAAGTGCTCCTTACACGTAAGTGAATAGATTTAATTACCTCAAATCGGTCGCTACCTGCAGGCGTGGGGTCCTCGTCTGACACTACTTCTGGATTGAATGAACCAGGCAGCCTTAACTCGCGGCCAAAGTTTAGGACGGCCGGGGAATACCCAGTAGACTCGTGAACTGCTGTGTTCATTGCCAACCTAAACTCGTTTAAATACTTGTCCCAGTACCGATGATTATCTCTGATATACTGTCTTATCATCGTTTTCAATACTCGGTTACTCCTCTCGGTAGGATTTGACTGTGGAGAGTAAGGAGCAGTTAATATATGCGAAATATTCCACTCTTTGGCCAGTTCGGAGAATATTTTGGAAGTAAATTGCGTTCCATTATCAGTTAGTATGGAAGATGGTGAGCCATATCTCATAATAACGAGTTCCCGAATTCTATCTTTAACGTCTTTAGCTGATGCCGCCCGCATTTGAGCGAGTTCGATCCATTTTGTAAACAGGTCCTATAACACTATTACGTATCGAAAACCTTTTGTGGACTTTGGAAAAGGTCCCATAATGTCAGCTACGACCGTGTACCAGGGTCCCTTCGGTACTCTGAATTTCATTTGGCCCGTCTGGCATTTTTGTTTGGGTTTTTGTATTTGGCAATTAGAGCAGGATCGTACATATTGTATTACTTCATTTTTCCAACCTGGCCAGTAATATCGGATTCCTACTCTGTGTATGGTCTTTCGGATCCCCAGATGTCCCGCAGTTGGCTCATCGTGGTTCTCGTGGAGAACCTTCTTTCTATCCTCTTTTGGCACGCAAAGTGTCCACGTAGAGACTGGCAGTTCTTTGGTTTGGTTATTTAGTGGTCCTCCGTACAAACTTTCGTGGTATATGGCGTAATTTGGATATTTGTTGGGAGTCTTCTTAACGGCTTTGAACATCCGTTCATACCAAGTATCGGATGGGGGCGGCGTCTTAGAAGTTTCTTTCGTTAGAGAACTATCGACCAATATGCAATCAAGTCTGTCGGCCGATTGACTAGGGATGCGTGAGAGTGCATCTGCCAAGCTATTATCAATTCCTTTTCTATAACATACATCGAAGTTATATTGCTGGATTTCAAGGACCCATCTTCCCAGTCGTCCTGATGGTTCTTTTATCTTAAGAAGCCATTGGAGAGCTTGGTAGTCAGTGACAGCTTTAAAATGATACCCTTCGAGGTATGGTCGAAAGGTTTTGATTCCCCATACTAAGGCTAGACATTCTTTTTCTGTCGTGCTATACTTTTGTTCTTGTTTACTCAACAGCCGGCTAGCAAATGCGATAGCGACTTCTTTCCCATCTTGTCTTTGAGTAAGGGCCGCTCCAACCCCACACTGTGATGTGTCCACTTGTAAGATAAATTCCTGGGTAAAGTCAAGGCACGCCAGGACGGGTGCGGAACTTAGTTTGGATTTCAGTGTCTCGAACGCAGCTTGATGTTGTTCGGTCCATTCCCATCTTGCTTGTTTCTTTAATAGAGCAGTAAGAGGCACACAGATTTGAGCAAAGTTGGCAATAAACCTTCTGTACCAGGAGGCGAGGCCAAGAAAACTCCTAAGATGTCTGACATTTTGGGGAACAGGGAAGTTTTCCATGGTTTTCACCTTTTCTGGATCGGTGTGGATTCCTTCTTTATTGACGATGTGTCCTAAATATCGCAATTCTCTTATAACGAATTGACACTTGTCAGGATTGAGCCTAAGACCAGCGGATCTCAAACGTTTAAAAACTTCCCTCAACAGTTCCAAATGCTCATCTAATGTTTTTCCCAGTACTATAATATCATCAAGATATGCGAAAGCTTTGGGTTCTAAGTCAGGTCCTATAATTGTGTTTAGAAGGCGCTGGAAAGTGGCAGGTGCCGAGTTCAGCCCGAAAGGCATGACTTTGGTAGACTGCGGTAGAGCCCAAGGCCGGGGACGGTAAAAGCGGTTATCGGTCGACTGTCTGGGTCCAAAGGGATTTGCCAATAGCCATTTTTCAAGTCTAAAGTTGTAATGAAATGAGCTTCTCTTAGTTTGTCAAGAACTCCATTAATGTAGGGAAGTGGATAGGCGTCCTTGATGCTGACATCGATCACACGGCAAAGGCAATGCAGAAACGGTATTTTCCTGACGGCTTCTTAATTAAGACGACAGGAGAACTCAATGGGCTCGATGAGGGTTCGATAACGTCATCTGGGATCATTGCTGCTACTTCTGATCTCATGATTTCTTGCATCGCAGGGTTACGGGGATAATATCGTTGTTTCAGGGGCTCAGTAGACTTAAGCCGAATTTTATGGTTTACCATGGTGGTTCTGGCAGCTACGTGGTCAAACAAAGGAAGCTCCTCAGCAAGGAACTGTTCTAATTTCTTGTTCTGACATGAGTCTAGATCCTCAATGGCTGTCAATGTGGTTATTTCCTTTAGGTCCACTGTTCCTACTTGAAGAACCAGGGGATTAACGTGTATAAGACCTAGCTTTTTGATAAAATCAATTCCAAGAATGATTTGAGATGATAATCCTGGTAAGTATATGGCCTCAATTTCAGCGAGCCGGTTTGCCACATTCGAATATAAATTTGCCGTTTGCCTCAATTCTTCTATTGTCAGCCAAATGTACGAATACTCGTCAAGCATATGGTTGGATTCCAATTTCTTTCAGATAAGTAGCGACAGTATCAGAAATAAAGGTTAGCATGGCGCCGCTGTCCAGTAGCGCAGAAAACTGTTGGCCATATATATTTACATCAACATAAATTCTTTGATCAGGGGGTTTCTTGGTCTGTACAAAGTTCAAGTGGAAGTTGGCGATAAGGTCTAACCATTCTAACCAACCTTGAGAAGATTCTCTCTTCACTGGCTCTGACGACTTCTCTCCCCCAGAGCCATGTTGGCGTTTCCCGACCGGCAACGGCAGGTGGTGGTTAACTGTCCCTCTCGTTTGCAATGGAAGCATCTGATTTTACGAGGCTTAGGGCATTCTCGAAACATGTGTCCACTACCGTCACAGTTCCACCACACGAATGCATTCTGTGGTCTATTAATAGCTCCAATTTGGTGTTGGTTCGGTGGTCTAACGTAGCTGCGTTCATTGAGAGCAAGCTGATTATCTTGGGGGACAGGTGTAGCTCTGTTGGTGAAGTTTCTTACTGGGTCTCTTGGATTCGGACGGATTTCTTTCCGATGAAAAGATGGCAGGTTCTCAGGCTTAGACCACTTGAAGACAATTCTTCAA